AAGTAGAGAGTAGTAGGGGTGGGTGTTTTCAGTGAGACCTCAACAGCCATGGGAACTATCCGCTGCACCTGCTGCAGAAATCCATGATGGGTCAAAGGGAGGTGGCACAGAACACAGAAGGCGTCTTCTTAGAGGGTTACTCAGACTGGGGACCTGAATAGGTGCAGTGAGCAGAAAAAATTCAAGAAATGCAATTGGACAAGTAAGCTGGGGTCAGAGGATCCATTGTGAAGAAACTGATATGCCAGGTTACAAAGTTTAAACTTGATTTGCCAGTCTCTGGAAGTTAATGGTGCTCAACAAATATTTATTGAATGAATAAATGCTAATGACAGATGCACCTGGGTCAAACCAAAGCTACTGAGATTTAGAATCTAGAAAATTATCTGTATAACCTCTAACCTCTTTGATCTTCCATTTCTCTCTCTCACTACCTTGACAATAACACCTTCCTCACAGGGTTGTGAGGAAGTCACAGTCACCAGAAATTAGATGCAATCAAAGCCATATGGCTACTAGAAATGTGGACTCAATAAATGTCAGCCACTCTACCCTTGCCCCCATGATGACCCAAAGCCAAGTAATAAAGCTGAACTATCCACCAGCTAGAGACAATGAAGTTTGCTCCTGGGATCTGTTTACAGAAGATGAATGTTGGCATTTCTGGCTATATTGGTCCTCGTGGAAAAAAATTAGTGGTATTGGTAACCACTTCCTTTGACCAAAAGGGAATCCAACTGCTGCTTTAATTAAAGGACAGAGTTAAAACTATCCTCCCAGGGAAATTACAAATTCAGAAATTGATGCTTATAGGAACTTGGAGGGTTTTTTCCTTTGTATTTAAATATGGAAACACCCTCCAATCAATATGCTGTTGACTGGGGTTATCTGTCTCTGCTTTGTTGCATTTCTCCCCCATTCTCAAAGCTTTTCTTTTTTTTTTTGCTGCATCATGCAGCATGCAGGATCTTAGTTCCCTGACCAGGGATGGGACCCACATCCCCTGCAGTGGAAGCTCAGAGTCTTAACTACTGAACTGCCAGGCAAGTTCCACCATTCTGAAATCTTGTTGTTGTTGTACAGTTGCTCACTCGTGTCCAACTCTTTGCGACCCATGGACTGCAGCACACCAGGCTTGTCTGTCCTTCACCATCTCCCAGAATTTGTTCAAACTCATGTTTAATAAGTCAGCAATGCCATCCAACTATCTCATCCTCTGTTGCCCCCTTCTCTTCTTGCCCTTAATCTTTCCCAGCATCAGGGTCTTTTCCAGTGAGTTGGCTCTTGGCATCAGGTAGCCAAATTATTGGAGCTTCAGCTTCAGCATCAGTCGTTCCAATGAATATTCAGAGCTGAGTTCATTTAGGATTGACTGGTTTGATCTCCTTGCTGTCCAAGGGACTCTCAAGAGTCTTCTCCAGCACGACAGTTCAAAAGCATCAGTTCTTCAGCACTCAGCCTTCTTTATGGTCCAACTCTCACATCCATGCATGGCTACTAGAAAAACCATAGCTTTAACTAGAAGGACCTTTGTTGGCAAAGTGATGTCTCTGCTCTTTAATACGCTGTCTAGATTTGTTATAGCTTTCCTTCCAAGGAACAAGCATCTTTTTTAATTTCATGGCTACAGTCACCGGAGGCAGTAATTTTGGAGCTCAAGAAAATGAAGTCTGTCACTGTTTCTATTTTTTCCCCATCTATTTGCCATGAAGTGATTGGATTGGATGCCATGATCTTAACAGGCCAAGATGCTTGTGAACTCTGCTTGATGGAAAACCCCTGCACTGGCTGGCTGTGGACATTGAAAGCGCTTCAGTCCCTCCCAGTGGACAAAGATAGTGGTGGCCTCAAGAAGGTAGGGACAGTGTCTTCAAAATACAAAACAAAGGTAGGAGAAAAAGCAGCAGCTTGAGGTGCTAGGTGAAGGACTGAGAAATCACAGGAGCTGGACACTCAACTCATGTATTTGAAAACACATCCTTTTCCCCATGGCAATTGGTCACAAAGAGAAACAGTAATGAGTCATACCAGTGACACACCAAATTAAAAAAAGAAGAAAGAAAGAAAAAGGAAGAAGGGATGTTGGAAAACTGAGTAAACACAGACTTTGTCCAGGAAGAAAATGCCAGAGTTGAGAAGTCTCAGTGGGAAGCACATTAGCTCCCAGCCTGGAGTGATTCACAACTGGAGTAGAAATTCCAAGGTGAGAATCCAGTCACCTGCCTCTTCATTCATTCATTTCATTTCATTCAACAATTATCAGCTCTCTCTCTCAATCATGCTCTGCAAGAAGCAGCAAGAATACACACGTGGAAAAGACACAATCCCTGACCTTGAGAGCAGCTGTGAAAGAAAGGGAAACAAAGATGTCACTGATATTTGCCATAAAGTGGAACAAGGGCCAAGATAAAGACTCATACAAGATGAAGTGTGACACAAAGAGGAGGGAGAGGGACCAGCAAAGGTTTCTCAGAGATAGAGCCGTATCTTAAAGCAGAGTTGGAGTCCCCCAGGCCGCAGGTAGTTGTGCCTGTGTGGAGGGACAGGAGTTCTAAGGAAGAGGAAAACGGTACATTTAAGAACAAGATGTCTTTGGGACTTCCCTGGGGTGCAGTGCCTTCCAATTCAGGGGCCCCCAGGTTCGATCCCTATTTGGGACCCTAAGAGGAGCAGCGGGGCAACTAAGCCCAAGCGCCACAAGTAGAGAGAAGTCCATGAGCTGCAAGTAAAGATCCCACGTGCTGCAACTAAGACTTCACACAGCCAAAAATAAAGTAAATAAATAAAATTTAAAAAAAAAAAAAAAGAACAAGATGTCTTTGGGGACAGTATGGAGTTGATAAAGCTAAAGCCTACAAGGGAAGGCAGAGAGGTGGGTAGAGACCAACAGTGGGAGGATCTCCTTTGTGGGAGAGGAGTCTGGACTCCATCCTGGAGGTGTGAGGAGCCACGGGGCGGGGGTGGGGGGTAGGGAAGGGTTTGAACAGAAGAGTGACACCGTCTCATTTGTGGTTGAATGCCTACTCATTCGCTTCGGTCATGTCCGATTCTTGTGACCTCATGGACTATAGCCCACCAGGCTCATCTGTCCATGGGATTCTCCAAGCAAGAATATTGAACTAGATTGCCATGCCCTCCTCCAGGGGATCGTCCCCATCCAGGGATCAAACCCGGGTCTGCTCTGCATGCAGATTCTTTACTGCTGAGACAGCAGGGAAGCCCCATTTGTGGTTAAGAAATATCTTTCTGATATCTTCCCATTAACCAGCCTTGAAGGACAGCCTGAAAGGGATTGAAAGGTAGAAGGATGGTCTGTTCAGATGGTTTAGATGAGCAGCCAGTGGCAAGAACTTGGAGAGGAGGGGTCATTGAGTTTAACTCCAGTCCCTAAAGGGCACTGTGGCCAGGAAGAATTCCTAGCTGCCAAGTCACTTAAGCCTCTTACAGGATCAAATTCCTAATCCTTAAAATGAAGAAAATATGAGTCACCAACAAGGTCCTCCCTTGCAGGGAGCATGAGACAGTTGATCAGGCCCTCTCTCCGCAGACAGTGGGACCTCGCTGAGGACCCTGGAGAAGGGGTGCAGCCAGGTGTGGAGAGGTGGTGAGCGGGGAGCCCTCCCTCTGCCCCACTCCCAGTGTCAGCCCAGCCCCTGATCCCCAGCTCCTTTTCCTCTTCAGAGGAATTGTTGAGGCCACAAAGAGGAAGCAAAGTGGAGGGTGCTCTCAGATGCCCAGGTCAGCGTCTTAGTCCCCTGCCAGCCCTGGTGTGATTCAGTCACAAGAAGTCACACGGGGGTATCCTCAGCTTTGAAGTCGCAGGGGCCTCTAAGCAGAGCCACTTGGAGCTGTCACCCTCGCCCGTGTCTCCCCTGAAAAGCTCTAGTGAGCAGTGGAGAGAAAGCTTTAATGGGTCTCAAACACACACACATAGTCTCATCCCGTTTTGGATTAAGGAGCTCGGTGATTTTAGACAAGTTAATTGTGTGTGTGCGCTTAGTCGCTCAGTCGTGTCCGACTCTTTGCGACCCCATGGACTGTAGCCCACCAGGCTCCTCTGTCCATGGGGATTCTCCAGGCAAGAATACTGGAGTGGGTTGCCATGTCCTCCTCCAGGGGATCTCCCAACCCAAGGATCGAACCCAAGTCTCCCTCATTGCAGGCGTATTCTTTACCGTCTGAGACACCAGAGAGGCCCGAGTTAGTTCCACGCGGTCAATAGATCCCAGGGGGGGACAGACCCGCCGGTTCGCCGACGGCTCCCTTGGATACCTGCCCTCGCCGTGAGGCCACATCGCCTTTCCCGCACCTTTTCCTTCTCGGTCCCAGGCGCCGCCCTGACCCGGGACAGGCGAGACTGCGGAGGGCCGGGCGGCGGGAGGTTGGCAGCAGCCCAGGGCGCCCCCGCGCGCTCCCTCCCCGCCGTTCTCGCCTCCCCGGCCGCGCGGCCCCGCGCTGGGGAGAGGGGAGCCTGTGCGGTCTGCGCCGGCGGCGGCGGGAGCTGCGCAGCGGGACTGGCCGGGAAGGTGCGAGTCGGGCCCACGGCTGCAGCCTCCGGGGTGGGCTGCTCCGGAGGCCCGCCCAGCCGGGCGCTCTCGCAGCCTCCCAGCTGCCCGAACAGCCCAGAGGCGCCCGCGAGGCTCCGCCCCCGCCGCGGCTTTCCAGACGTCGGAGCCGGGGGGCCGCCGGGCACCGAGCCCGGGCCGCAGACCGCGGGCTCCTCGCGTCCTGCCCCCGGGGGCGGACCCAGGGCCCCGGGGCCCCCGCCTTCACCGCCGCCGGTGGCCGCTGACGTCAGGAAGGCGAAACCCAGAAGAAGAAGAAAAAGGCTCGAGGGCGGAAGGGGAAAAAAACTTTATTATTATTGTTTTTTCCCTTATTTTCTCTCTGGAGCAGAAGTGAAGGGCAAGCGACTGCGTCAGCGCGAAGAGAGCCGGGCGCGACCCCAGCCCGCTGCGCGCGGAGGCGCTGGGCCCCGGAGGCCCGAAGGGGCGCCCGGCATGTGGGACCCCCAGGACTTTGAGCGCCACTGGCGGGCCGAGTTCCCTGGGGAGGAGGTGCCCGTTATGCAGCTGGACTCGGTGCTGGACATGGAACGCGAGCTGGAGCGCAGCAAACTCAAACTGAAGTGGCTGCAACAGGTGCTGGCCGAGGAGAAATTCAAGGCCGTCTACCTGCAGGCGGCCCTGGAGAAGCGGGACCTCGGCTGCGGGCGCCCGGAGGGCGGACTCGGCGACTGCGGGGGGGCCTCCGCGGAGGAGCCGGCGCCGGCCCGACCGGAGCGGGAGCCGCCGCCGCGGCCGCCGCGCGAGAAGGAGAGCGCAGCGGGCGGTGGTGGAGACCACCGGGGCCCCTCGCTTCCCGACCCGGCGGTGGCCGCCAAGACCGAGAGTACCCCGTACGCGTGCCTGGACCTTCCCACGTGGCCCGGGGCGGCGGGGGCCGGGGGCGCGGTGCGCAGCCTGACCGCCGCCATCCACCAGCAGCTCCTGCAGCCTCGCCTCCTCTTCAGGCCCCGGGAGGACTGCGCGCCCCCTGGCCACCGTGGCACGGCTCCCAGCGCCGGGGGAGAGGAGCGGTCCGCCGGGCTCCGCGCGGGGCGGGGCTCAGAGGAGGGCGAGGCGGACGCCGCCTCGGGCGCGGATGATGGGGGCGACAGCAGTGACCACGATTTCGAGATGGTGGATCTCAACGAGAAATTCGCCCTCAGCCAGTTGCTTGTGGCCCCTTGCCGGCCCGGGACCTGCGATGAGGCCGAAAAGCCGGCGCGGGCGTACGGTTCCCATCGCTGGATGCACCTGATCCTCGGGGGCCGGCGGCAGGTGCGCGGGAGTCGGGACCTGGAGCAACTGGAGGCAGAGGCCAAGGACGGGCGGGGCTCGCCCCCGGCGGCAGAGGAGCCCCCCCGGCGTCGGGCTCGCGAGCACCTCCCCCAGTGGCGGCGCAAGAGGTTCTTAGGGCTGACCGAGCGGGACTCGCCCAGCCACAGCTCGCCCGAGAGGGGCAGTGACTGCAGCCGCAACAGCTCCGACCACGAGGACAGCTCCTTTCCAGGTAGGCGCACCCCAGCGTGCATCCTCGCCCCTTGTATTCTGTATCTTGAACCCCCCACCCCTTCCTGGCACACCCTGATGGTCCTGTTTGGCCTCAGGCGCCTGAGCAGAAGAGAGATAAGATTTACGTGTTTACGTTGAAGGCACTTGTAGTACTTTAAAAAAATGATAGTGCAAAGTGGATTTCGGTTGGGCGAGTTTAAGAAAATAAACATCACGACGATGACAGGGGATGAAAAGATGATGCCCTCGACCACACCGTGGGAGGAATCTTTCACTTGGGACCTCAGCCTTTCTATTTCATTGCAGCATCACTGCCACCCCCACCTCCAACTCATCCTCGCAGGTCGGTCAGATTCCTCGGCGCCACAACTGATAAGGTATCCTTCCCTCCACAGACTCCAGCGGTTCTCATTTCCCCAGGTTCCTCGATATGGAAGTCTTAAACTTCCACTTAATTTTCTGAACGGCTCTCGCATCTTCTCCAGCCTGTAACTTGTGTTCTGGCCAAAATGAAGGAAGCTCTCACCGTGGGAAAGGTTCATAACCCTCACTACACCCATCCTTTGCTGACTGTCCCCTTCCTAAAAGGCAGCGCCTGGTCTGTTGGCTTCCTAGGAGCCTGAGTGGGAAGGGGAGAGCTTAGAATCATAGAGTTTTTGAGCTGGCAGAATGACCAGAGATCATGCCTACAGGCCTTCATTTGATAAAGGAGGAAACCTAAGCTCAGAAAGATTAAGTGCTTGTCGGAGCCAGCTGGGACCTCCCCTGGGGCCTCCTGTCATTTTCTTGCTTCTCTTCATATCTACCCTCTCTTCTGAGGACAGGACCTGGGCTTTGCCATCTTGTGGTGGAATCCCCTTTCAGTGGTCAGCACGGTGCCTTGCATATAGTAAGTGCTCAATACGTATTCATTGAATAAATGGATGATTGCATTGAATTGAATGCAGTCTTCTGGCCACCCCACTCCCCACGGGTTAGGAATGGGAAAGGGCCCAAGAGGATAAGACAGATAGGAATGTGGGCTGTCCTGTGACCAACCCTTTGCTGCCCCAGGGACTGTCAGAGTCTCCTCAGCCATAGGGAAAGCATAAACTGTCCTCTGGTTGGGTCAAGCCTGGAACTTAAGATGTTTTCCCTGTTCAGTGAAGGATTAAAAAAAAAAAAAGAAATCACTGATGCTGGGATTCTTCCAAAATCTCCATTATTAGATCTTATCTGGGTGAGCTTGCATTTGAATGAAAAACTGTCCACTTTGCTAAAAGCACATTTGGAAGGGCCATCAAGTCATCTGTTGTGATCAATTACACTTATTCATTAGCAGAGATTGGCTGCTTCTCCCATAGGCAATGCTTTTGCTGCCCATGCTAGTAACATTTTTATGTGCCCCCTTTAACTTAGAGTCTGAAGATTTCATTCTAGTGCCAAGTTCCAAATGCCCTCCATAGAGACTACCCAAGGGGCCCAGGGCCGCTTTAGAGCTGGCTCCAGTCCCGTCTCCCACTAGACCCACATCAGTCACTCTGCCCGATGTGCCTGATGCACTGCTCTTCCCCCAGGTAGTGGTTTGATTTCTGTGCGCTCCTCTCCCCTGAAGGGCACTCTAGCACATAGAGCACCTTGATTCAGATTGGGAACTAATTCCCTCTGCCCTAACAGTTTACAAGAGGTGGTCTCTCTGGGTGGACCAGTGATTTAAAAAAAAAAAAAAAATTCCCTTCCTCTGAACTGAAGACTCCAGCCAGGGCTCATGTCTGGCACTCCTGGCATTGGCTCATGGTGCCTGGGCTGGTTTTCAGGCTCCACTCCAGGACCGTTCTGCAGGGCAGGCTTGTGTAGAGAGCTCTTGGAAAGCTGCATGTGGGGGCCCTGCCTCCTGTTGCCCAAACCTTCCTGGTGAGGAAACAAATAGAGGTGGACACGCATATTCATGCAGGCATGCAACACATCCATGCACGCCTGTAGCAAGTATACACACGTGCACATGGTCACATACGAGTGTTACATGCACAGAGTCTAGGCAGAAGAGCCCTCAGACATACCGAGGGTGCTGCAGTGGAGAGGTTACAGGACAGGCTTTTCCAGCTGTGGGTGACAGCCAGCCCACTGGAATCGGCGTGATGGGGAGAGAAAGTGTCATAGGCCTTCTCTGGCTGCCTGCCCTTGGCCTTCCCTCCTTCACTTCTCTCCATAGCTCTTGCCAAATTACCACCTCAGATGCTACAATTTTGCACATGGATCTTATTCATTCTCTCTCTCCGGTAAAATGCAAGCTCCAAAGGGCAAGGATTTTTATCTCTCATCCCCTGACATAGCCCCCAAAGCCTAAGAGTGTCTAACACATAATAGGTGTTCCATAAATATTTTTTGAGTGATATGTTTTTTTTTTATTTTAATGGAATAGAATGGAAAACATCAGAGTGCATTGCACACAGTAATGGTGAGTAGTAGTCTGCTTTAAAACTTTGTTTCGGTTCTGTATACTTGTGAATGTATACTGGGTGCTGATGTAGAATGTATTTCATGCTAAGGGCTGGGTCAAAAGATTTGAAAGTACTGATAAAGACCATGGGCTCTGAAGCTAGACTGCTTGTATGACCTTGGGAGAAGTTATCTGAATTTTCTGTGTTTTGGTTTTCTCATTAGTTAAATGAGACTAATAAACACAGATTACATCATACCATTGATATGAAGAAGAAATGGGATATCATTTCTAGAGGGCTTTAAACAGGGCTTGGCAATAGTAAGTACCCATAGCATTAACAAACTATAACTAATTACAACTCTTGGTCATTTTCTTTAAGTCAGTGCTTCAGAGCTTTCCACTCTCGGATCATTCTGGATCTCAGGTGGTTTGGTTTTTTATAGTGCATGTGTTTTTTTTCCTAGCCAGGTTCTGACTCTTTCTAGAACCTTCCAGAAGCAGGGCAGGACCCAGGGCAGAGTGGTGATCTTGGCTCATGAGGCTCTCTAGCTGGATTGGCCCTCAAACCCCTCCCTCTCCACCAGGAATCATGCCCATTGTCGCTACTCAGAGAGCCTCGCCCCATCGGGTTTTATTGCACAATTCAGGCTTTGCCTTCCTCTCAGAGTTTCAAGGAGAAAGACCATGTGAGACCTCACGTAAAAAGGCCCAAAGGCAGAAGTGCCTCCCTCCTTAGAAAAGGGTCGTTTTCTCTTAGCTGAGGGGCAGACCCTCATACCAAGACACATTGGAGTTTGTTCTACACATAGACAAATCAGGGTTTAAGTTAGAATGCCAGGTCTTCTTTCTTTATTTTTTTGAAGTGTTTATTTGGCCGCCACAGGTCTTAGCTGCATGGCGAGGTGGATTCTTACCCCCTGGACCATCAGGGAAATCCCTAGAATACCAGTTCTTTTAGCATCTTCCAGTTAGCATCTTATTGCCCTGTTGGTACTGAGGCCATGGATGGCATGAATGAAGGTGGTGATGTGAATGGGGTGGGGGTGGGAGTTGCAGAGCTGGAATCAGCCATGTTGGGTCACGTGTGCTGTGAAGACAGACCCATGAGTGTGCCCAGGCTCAGCCCTGCAGCAGGTGTGAGGCCGTAAACAAGCCACTGGCCTTTCTACATCTCAGTCTCTATTAACAGAAATAACAAGAATAGCTAACGCTTCCTGAGGGCTTGCCTTGTGCCTGTTCCTGTTCTAAGCATTTTACACGTATTAACTCATGTATACCACACACCAGTTTCATAAGACAGGCCCTATTACTGTTTCCATTTTATGTATGAGAAGCGTGAGGCTCAGAGGGCTTAAATAAACCTGCCCAAGGTTACCCAGCTTGGGTACCTTGGTAACCCACAGGGTTACCCTAAGTGGCACTTAGGATTTGAATGCACGCAGTCTGACTTGCAAGTCTGTGCCTTTAAACACCAAGCTATACTGCCTCCAATGATAGCATTTACATCTCAGGGTAGTTATGAAAATGACATACAATAAAATACTTAAAGAGTTGACTTTACTCACACACTGACCTTTAAGTGCATATGTGTGTATATATGTGTATCCATTATTATTATTTTGTCACTAAAGTCCCCAACAGACCCCAGTTCATTTGCTGAGGTCAACCATGAGGGCTGCTGCCTGCCCGTGGGACTCCTTGTGGACTTGGCCTCACAGGTGAGCAGTCTGCCTGCTGGAGTTTAGGTCTCCCCTCCTCATCTGGGAGCTCTTGGGCTCCCAGCAACTGCCCAGCCACGTGTGGAGGCCCTGATATTTTCACTTTCATGTGGGCATGCTTCTGTATCACCCCTGCTATCTGTCACCCTGGGTGACATGTCCTTCTTCAAAGTTTATGTGTCCCTTCTGTAGACTGTGGTGTCCCCTCTGTGACACGTGGACCAAAGTACACTCTCCCAGCAAAAGCCCACGTCAGGCATCCTTTTGACTGGCAGTACCATTCATCTGGTGTTCTGATCATCATTCAGATGACAAAGTAAATATCATTAATATTTTAAATTGATAGCTTTTTTTTTTTTGCTTGCATTAAACTTGGCTTAGTGGAGGATAAACAGTCTTTTTTTTTTGCCGAACCTTAAAAATCCTTCATTCATTCACTCATCCATTCCACTCGACAAGGATTTACCCGGGTCTTGCTTTGTGCCAGGTCTGTGTTAAGGGTCAAGACTGCAGAAGTCGGTGACCTACCCTCAAGATTCTCATTGGCCTCTTTGCTTCTAGGGTAGAAACTTTTTTGCTTCTTCTCTTTAGATAAAGGAACAACTTTCCAGCAGGTAACTTGTTAAATCCTGAAATGAGTGACTAAGTAAGGCCTGTCATTTAGAACCTCAGCGACACGAAAGGGCCTCAAATGAGAAAGGATCTTAGGTTTGGTCTAAGAGTCTTCCTGTGCCTCCCCAGGCAGATGAGGATCCTCGAGCCCTGAGAGTAATAACCTCAGGGTCACACATTCATGACCCTCAAGCAGGGTCCAGGAGCCAGATCAGGGCTCTTTCCATTGAGGCCTATGGTCTTTTC